AAGCCCCGTTCTCAGAACTGCGTCGTGTCGACAGCGACACAGTTTGACATTTCAAACAACCAATGGGAGCTATACTAAATTTAAAATTGACAGCTGTTTGAATTTTGTACAAATCTCATTGGTTCTTTTGACGTGTCGCTGGCGACAGTCGCTGTTCTGAGAACGGGGCTTGAAATGTAAACACAAAACATGACATAAACCAAAGCATAAACTATGGAGGCTAGAAGGAGGAGGCGAATCGACAATGGGCATATTTGAAATTTCTGTCCCTACTTTAAAGCAAGTTTCTCGGTTTGACACCAGAGGCACTGTAAGCGGGTTAGATTGATCATTTGCATTGTTAGAATACGATTTAACTGTGTTTTTACTAGTTTTTTTTAAATTTATAGTTATTTTATCGAATATAGCAATGTAACAATGAGTGTGATTAAAAAATCCTAATACTATCTTGCTTGGTACCTGGCTGTAAATCATTTGCATTGTTAGAATACGATTTAACTGTGTTTTTACTAGTTTTTTTTAAATTTATAGTTATTTTATCGAACTATTAGCAATGTAACAATGAGTGTGATTAAAAAACCCTATATAATAGATCTTGCTTGGTACCTGGCTGTATAAGTGGGACTTACAGTGGAAAAAAGGCAAATAAAGAACAGAGTGAAAGAAACCCAAGTCTTTTTAAAGATCCTAATGTAAGTGGTATAACTATTTATTTAAAAAAATATGGATAGATGTTAAGAAAAACATTCAAATTATATACTATCAGTGTACAGATTAATTTTAAATTCAAATTAATAGAGAATATAGCCTAAAATCAACATCTGCGTAACATAACCTAGGAGGCCTTGTTATAAAATAAAAATAATTTACCTACTAGCTGGTGGTTAAAATTACCTGTTGATATGTATTAACCACCATTTTTGAACAGTGCTATTGAAAGTGAATTTACGCCAAAGCAATATAGTATTCTAATATAAAATAATTTACTTACCTGAGATGCTTCATTTAAATTGAAAAATAATGTACAGTGGTTGAAGTACTTTTTGATTGTGTATATAAAACCATTTAGAATAGTTTTTATGAATAAGCTCTTTAAATTAATATGTAGGTATATTGTGCTTTTCAGGTATTTATTTAGAATGCATTTTTTAAACCATTTAGAATAGTTTTTATGAATAAGCTCTTTAAATTAATATCATACGGTATATTATATTGACAAAAAAACACTGAAAAGCACATATTTGTTTTCTACTGAAAATAATTCCAAAATAACTTGCAATCTGGCAACATCGAAGATGTGCGCATGCGTAGTGTCTGTGACTATATGCAGCAAAAACACGTTTCAAGGTCAGCCACCGGATCCACACCATTACCTTTTATTTATTAAATTTAGTGGAATTAGTCAGTTAATAAAAACAAAAGTTGTAATGTATTAATATTACTAAATAAATAAATATATGATGAAATAAGTCAGTGTATATACATATTTACCAACTCTTTTAAAATAAACTGAGTTCATTATTTATTCATTAATATTTTATTTACAAAAATTTACCTTTACAATTATCAGGTGACGTTGAATATAATACATATCTTGAATTTAATTGTCTATGAAACAGTGACAATTTGCAAAGCTTTGCTAATGACATTAAAACTTAAATTCAGAAAATCTAAAGAAAAAACACTATTGGACATAGGAAACATTTCAGCTTAATGTACCTATTCTCTGGGTTCACTTGGTTTCAGCCATGTTTCAGCCAGTTTCAGCTATAAAAATTTATGGGATAGATAACACTGATCGAAGGGTGCAACAGTAGTGTTCATCTTCACTTTCCATTGAAGTTATTCCTGATAAAATACTTTTAGTTTTCGTGATTCAGTTTCTGTCAATTGCGGTAAAACCACTACTAGTTTATTACGAAAGTTTTTAATGTTTATTAAAATGATATCAGACTGAACTGCTTGTAAACATATCAATATCAAATGTTTTTATGAAAAACTATTAATAAATCACTAACACAATCACACCATAAACTATTTAATTCGCATTTGTCATCAAGAAACAATTACTGTTCACATCAAATCACAGGTTGAACTGGTGATATTTGTTGCTGGAAATTCTATCTTTTTTGTACAATTGTTTTTATGGAAGATTTATTTTAGCAGCTTATATTTCTCTTCGGTCGTGTATGCACTAAAAGGAACCATATAATGAAACAATTTTATAAAAACAACTTAGAAAAAGAATATCTAAAACCGGCATCTGATATAACCTAATTTCTAACTTACTTTTCAAACTCAAATTTAAGGTTTTGTATTCACAATTTTAGCCACGCACATTGTTCAATTAGAAAAAAACACGTTTCTAAAAGCTAAATCTGGTAAAAATATGCCCAAACATTAACTGAACTCTATAATTTATAACAAAATAGTAATTCTTGCCATAAGAAGCTGTGTATTTCTCAATCTGTCGGATCACATGCGCCCCTAACGGCGATTTTCGAACTTCATTTAGATCTCAAAAACTGGGCCCATAATTTTTGCGTTCGATTCGCCTCCTCCTTCTAGCCTCATAGCATAAACCAAACTGTAACCTGCCAATGTAAACAAATATTTTAATCTTAACACTTAAAAGATTATACTTGATCAGAGTTGATTATACATTACCGTAAAATGGGGGGAATAGAAACATAGTGGTGAATAGAAACAAAATTTCTGAAAAAATCAAATCACGATTAAAAATATTCAAAGTAAAAAGAGTCGACATATCTAATTTTTCTATCATTGGTAATACACAATAAAATATATCTGTCAATCAGCTGATCAATAAATGTGAGATCGATTTATCACCCATTTTGTATGGCGCGAAAACTTTATAAATAAAATATTTATTTTTAAACTAATACATAAGCTGGTACATGTAAGTTGTTATATTATATGTACTGTTAATGGTAAAGGTGTGGATCCGGTGGCTGACCTTGAAGGCCATATTTGCAGCATTTGATCATCGATACTACGCAAGCGCACATCGTCGATGTTGCCAAATTGCAGTTTATTTTCGAATTATTTGCAGTTGAATTTTTTTTTGAATGTTAATCAATAATAATACAAATTCTATAATTAATTTTATAATTTCAGATTTATCTTGATATCCAAAATTAAGGTAAGAAGAATATGAATTGAATTGAAGGGATAATGAAGATTGTGAAATGAAAGTATTATGAATATATAAAATTGTAATAATGATAACATTTATTTTATATATTTACATTAGAATTAAAAATTATCATTTACGGATTTTTTTTAATGGTTTTAAACTTATTAGAATTATTTAATTTCTAGTTATTTACAGGCAACAATAGTTTTGATTATATGTATTGATGTATTGAAGTACTACCATGACGAGTCTTATAGAACAATATACACGTCAATGAGATAGAGGTAACATTTTACCTATAATGTTACTAATATAATATATTTTGATTATAATGTTTGTATCATAATTTCTTAAAATATATAGTGGATTAATAGCAATTTTTAGACATATATTTTATCGAAGAGTGTGTTGGTAAGACTAAAATAAGCTGAATAAGCTTTATGTTTTATCTTTTTCTCTTTAGAAGGAGATGGTTTGTGTCGTAGAATACATTACTGTATTTAATATCGTGTACTTTGATATTCTTTTCTTAATTTACTGTAATTTCTTGTTTCCTATAATGCCAAATCTTGACAATATGGTGAAGGTTGAGTTTTGATCTTATTAGTTTTATCCTTTTATCAAAGATAATTCTACTACTTGTGTTAACTATAATATTCTTTGGTTTTATACCTATGTTTATACAAGACCAAATTAAGACTTAGTTAGTTTGTGATTTATATTAAGATCTTTCTTATAATATTTGTTATGTCTTAATCTTAATACTATATTATGCTTTTGTCTGGAAAATAAATGTTAAAATATCTTAATTTTTGCATATCCTATTCCATATCCTTCCATTAGAAAAAAATATGGTTTATAAATCATATATGCTAAGAAAATCACATAAACTACTTGTAAGGTAAGAATAGAGAAATCATAAGGTAGCAGAAAAAATAAATAATAAGCAGAATTAAACAAGGTAACTGTTAATTAATGTTGCTGAAGCTGATTGTTACAATTTTAATTACGGAGGCTAAAAGGGTCTTTTAAGGCCTCCGTAATTTTGATGTAATGTTAAAAAACCTATTATGAACATGACATGGAGCTACAGCATTTAAAAATTAAAAAAAGAAAAAACTTGGACACGTCCCTTTTAATTTCCCGAATTTTTAATAAAACACTTTTAAACGTAGCATAATAATCTAGAGCAATTAGATTAATTATGGGAATCTAGAGTTTTATTTCTATATAATTTTATTGACTATGAAAATACATAATAAGCGTTCACGTGTTGTGCGAAATATTAAAAATAATATATAAATCCTTGATATAAATAATATACCGCGTACTATGATTGAAAAAAAAATAGCGTCAGCGATGACTATGAAATGAAGATCGCTGTCATTTTATATGGGAAATGTCCTCAATCGTCATTTCCCAGCCAACTGGACGCCGTTTTTCGATCATACGGTATATATTGACAAAAACACTGAAAAACACATATTTGTTTTCTACTGAAATAATTCCAAAATAACGTACAATCTGGCAACATCGAAGATGTGCGCATGCGTAGTGTCTGTGGCTAGCCATCACCGGATCCGTCAGCCACCGGATCCACACCATTACCCTGTTAATTATTGTTAAACCTACTTAAATATGTAATAATTTACTGTTTCTAATCACCTTGTTGGAAATAGAATAGATAAAAACCTTAACATCAATGTGTGTTTCTATTCTCCCGAATAGCAGGTGAATAGAAACACAAGTGTTATTTTTATTTAATATTTATATGCATATTTTTCAAAAATCAAATTATATGTATACGCAAAGAACAAACAAAGACCCATGTTTTAAAATATTCGGGAAAATAATACCACATTTTTATCAACCGGTATATCGCTAATGGCCTACGAAACTGTTTCTATTCACCTCATTTTACGGTATACCATAAAGCAGATAAGACTTAATAAATATTTTTATGGCTAGAATTGATTAAATACTTTTTTATCTTTTGTGATAAACCTCATCGCGTTGGGAATATAAAAAATCATATTTATTCAATTTAAGTTCATTACTTGTTCATTGGTCATTAGTCCCTATCAAGTCTCTCTGATTTGTTGTTTTCGCTTGGCTTGGCTGCGACTAGTTGTCATCAATTTTTTGAAATTATAACCGAGATGGGGTTACCACCTGTATTAACTAAGCTATTTAAGTAAGTTTAATATTTTTCTTATTAGAATTAAATTTTATTACATACCATTTTGTAGAAAGGTTGATGAAAATAAGGAGGAATATATTAACAATCTAAAAGATGCTGTGGCAATTAAATCGGTGTCGGCGTGGCCTCAAAATCGGGCCGATATTAAAACAATGCTCGAGCAGTGTGGCCAGATTTCTCACGGCGTAGTCGCCACGCAGACTCCAATTTATCGCCCAAAATCGCCACTTTAAGGCGATTTCGAGCAATTTACCGTTTGGTTATGGTTGACAGATAAACATGCTTTAAACGTCAATAGTCAACCGATCGGTAGCTAAATGACATTTAAAGCATTGTTTATCTGTCAACCATAACCAGCGGTGGTTCGCTCGGCTTTAGTTTACATCCTAACCAATAGATGGTATAAGAAAAAAAAACAATCGGTTATCTTAAATCATTCTTTATTGCTTAGCTATACTTATATGTACCGCTTTACAAAAGCTGTTCACAAAATGTTAATACATCATCAATATCGTCATCATCAGTAGAATCTTGAACATTTTCTGATAGTTTTAAGGGAGTAGTTTTATTATTATTATACATCACCTGAGAATTAAATTTAGAAAACATATCTGTCGTGGGTTCAAAAGATTTGCAACATATTTGCCTAACATAAAAATAATAACGAATTACCATTATCGAATTTAATAAATTTAGCATCATTTGATTTCTGATTTTACATTTGACCAGATTCATTATTGAGAATGTTCTTTCCACAACAGCATTGGAGGACGGCAAACTGAGAAATGTAAACGCCAATAAAGAAAGATCTTTAAACATTAATTCGCCTGCTGCGTTTTTTGCGTCACAACTTTTTCCAAAAAGTTACCGCGTCGTCTGGGATGTTTCCGTTAAATATTTCCGCCCAGTTAATATTTAGTATATTTCGGTACTGTGCCTCTAGGTCAGTCAAGGTTCCTGGATTTGCATACATTAAAGGTAGCTCTCCAAATTTTTTTTCGTTTTGGTTTAAAATCAGACCTGGACTAAAAGTTTCGTATTTGTAAAAATACATCTAAATGATTAGGCATTCTATTTATTAATTGTGTTAAAAGATCTTTGATAAATTGAAAACATTTTTTCTTTATACCTATTATTTCTTCAGAATTTAGTTGGGCTGCATCTATTTCTTGCTCAAAATAATAACCAAGATCACAAGAGTCTAGGTCTAAAAAATTTTGATCGTATTTCATTGCATTACTTAAAAGCTCCAGATTCTTATCAAGATGAATAATTATCAGTGGCTTAATAATTTGTCCTGCTAATGACCATATTGTTGTAATTACGTCCTCAAATGCTTTATAGAAATCCACATTTGCACTTTGAAAATATAAATTAAGATAGTATATCTGCTTTAATATTGGACATAAAAAGTTAAATAAACCTTGTTAGTTTTATTTTTTATAAGCATTACTCAATAATTGTGCACTGTGACATCTTTCTTTATTAGCGTTTATTGTAAAAAATGTTTCTAGTTCTAAATATTGGGCTAAAATTTTCTCCACTGCTCGGTATCTCGACAACCAACGTGTACCAGATAATTTTGTCATCTTAGTAAATTTGCTATCATTGTTTATTAAACTAAATATTTCTTTATATTTACTTTGTCTTAGAGTGCTATTTTGAAACCAATTATAAGTTTTTTTTAAGTAAGAAATCAATTTCATCAGCAAATATTTCCGAGGCCTTTGAAGCACAGAGATGTAGGCTATGACATATACATTTTACAAGTACTAAATTATTTAGCTCAAATTTAGTTTTTAAAAGGGTAAAAAGAGAATGATTTTTTCCGCATAAATTAGATCCCCCATCTGTACCTAGTCCTATCAGATTTTTTAGAGGCAATTTAATTGATTCAAAAAATTCACATACTTTTTCAAACAAAACCTGAGCAGTAGCTTCAACTACACTAATAAATGATAAAAATTGTGTAACAACATCATTTCTTTTGAGAATAATACTTTATCATTATGGCTAATAATTTGTTGGTGGACACATCCGTCGACTCATCTAAAATAATAGAAAATGGAGAAGTACCTACGTCTTCAATTAATTCATTCAGTAAGGATGGAGCTATCACATTCTTGATTATGGCTGAACATTTTGTCCTGTGAAGATGTAACTCTCGTGGTGGTTGAGATCGAAACGATGTTGTCTGTTCGTTATCATTAAAGCTGTTAATGATGTCTGTCAGGGTGGTCGACACTTGAATAGTTGTGTGAGTAGCTACGTAACAAGCCAATATTATTTCTTTTTTTTTTTAATGGAATTATTTGCTACAGATATACCTAAAAGTAAAATTAATGTAACTAAAAAAATAAAAAACATACACTGCAGAAAGTTATTAACATACCAAAACTTGGAAGGGGTAATTGACGTTTATCCACCTTACAGGCTTGCTGTTTGTGTTTAGAGGTATTTGCATGCTTTTCTAGATCAGATTTGTGGGACCTCAATCCAGTTTCACACACTTTGCAATAGCTGGAAACATCTGAATTGGGGTTGGGATTAGATGTGAGCCAAGCTACAATAACAACAATTTTCTATTTCTACCAACCATAACCAAACCAACCAGTAATCAACGCGCCAATAACCAATAATAATTAAAACAACCGTCCCATGGGGGTAACATCATGTCTACTTTCTAAATAGCAAGATAACACCAAAATGCAATAAGTAAGGTTAGAAAATAAAATTTTAAATTACGTTTCCATAAAACCCTGCTTAAACATGAATAAAAATGTTATAAGTTATGTTATGTAGGTAATAATACAAATCCATGATATTCTACCAAAGTCTAACCCAAACGACCACAGAAACAGGATATGGGTTTTACTTTTACGGAAATGTTGTTTTACTTGGTACTTACCTTTAAACAAGGCTTCACGTTCCCATTCCTTCTTGTGTTTTTTTTTCATATTTCGCCCATTTACCCATAGTCTAAATGCGACAGGCGACACAAATGCAAATATATTATAGTATAAATCACAGGTATAAATCTCTGGTATAAATAAGATTAACAGAACACGGAACGCCTAAAGTCCCTAGATATATAAAGTACCGAATTGGTTTGTTCAATGTTATTGGCGCCAAAATGGCGGATTTTTGGGGTATTTCTGGGAAAACTGTAGTGGTAGGACTGTTTAAATGTCACATTTGTCTGAATTTGTCATGTCAAATGTTGAGAAGCTGTCAATTTCAGAATAAAAATATTTATCCACATATTTTAAAATAATTATAAAACCACTAAAATGCTACAAATTTATTAGTTAATAATGTATAGGCGTCGATATCTTTAGTGAAGAAATATGTATTACAAGAAAAGGCCGCCATTTGATGTGTTTTCTAACATCGTCGATATTCAATACAGGTTAGGTAGTGGATTGAATTTATTTATGCTCCAGTGAATATTTTTAACAATCTTATTTGTAGTATAACCTATTGGTACATAAAACTTCATTGTAGAACAAGACAAGATCACAATAGATCTGGGAAGGTCGCAGTGGGTCAGGCCCAGATCCACCTCTAGAAATCTAATATAGAACAAGACAAAGACCTTACTTGCAAACTACCATACATATCTTTTAAAAAGGATGCTAAGTGTAGTGTAAGTGAAATCTTTACGTAATCATTCCCTAAAATGTTTAGTGTAGTTTAGTTTTCAACATTTTGCAGTAAGAAGTTTAGATAAATCTACAATATATTATCATCAGACCAAAGGCAGGATAATTACTTAATAGAATAAGTTATGTTATGATACATATACAGATTTGTATGACATCGCTTCAGGTGGTTTTACCAGTCAGGACTAACAGGGATATTAACCAAAACAATGAAAAAAAGCTCAAATAAATTTGATCCTAATAACAAGAATGTTGTTTATGCATATGCTAACTATATAGTTATTTTCATGGACTTAAATAGATTAGTTTTTATGTATTTATTGATAGTAATTAATATTTTTTGGTTCATATTGTAATTACTAATAAAAAGTAAACAATATAATATAAGCATGTAAAGTTATATTTAAAAATTTGGTCTTATACTGTCAGTTACAAATATAAAAATGTGATTCAATGTTATTTCAATGTTAAATTTATAGCAGTATAATTTTTTGTATAATAATGATACTTAAACATTATGACACTTGTTTTAAAATATAACATTAAATTGCAGAGCAAAATATATTTTAATTGTATTATGTGGTATTAACTTGCTTTTATTCAACTAATAATAAATTTGTTGTATAAAAAAATCACTCCATAACATACAAACCTTAATTATACAGCATACATAAAAAGAGCTCCTATGCGTTTCAAGCTTCTTTCTAAGTTATTTTTTAAATTAAGTGCACAATTACATACCTAAAATGCCAAACTACCTGAAGTAATACTAATTGAAACAATCTTTCTATCAATATATTAATATATTTCAAAAATAGCAGGTATGTATCATATCAATTTAATTATTACATTTATTTGTTTCAACCATGGTTCAAAATTTTCTCGTATAAAAGCCGGCCTTCAAATTTAAGTTTGTAGCTTATTCATAGTTCCAAAGACTTTCGTTAAATCATGCTTATTTGTCAAAACTAACTACAGCATAACTGGTATAATAGGGAAAGTTTACTTATGGTATAGGTATCCCGTTCTCATCAACAAACAAAGTTTTTCCAATTGTTTCGACTGAATTAAGTACTAAAATTCTAAATGTTATTCCAACTTTATTTCTTCTTACCTATTAACTTACTTCTGTTGGCGTACTTTGCGCTAAAAGGTAACATAAAATAAATGCTAATACAAATGAAAAACACTTGTACGGAAACCATTCGTTTATAACCTCTTAACATATATAGGCCTAAAAAATTAAATTTATGAAATTGAATATTAATATACCACCTGATATTACGTTAAAATGAAGGTAAACTGTAGATAATAAACGTAATTCTATTACAATTAATAAATATTTTATTTTACGGCTTGCCTGTCAATGTTGGTCGGCCATATTGGCGCCGGACCGACCAGCTGCTTAAAAAGCCGAAACAGCGAAATGTTGGCCTCCTTTTTAAATTTGCCGCTAGTTTTGGCGCCAATATGGCGGTAATTGCGGTACTTTATATATCTAGGGACTTTAGGAACGCCCTGAACGCAGCGCCAGTTTAGTGTCAGAACAGGGTGCGGAGAAACCAGAGATATTGGGAGAAACTAAACTTCTTCTTCTTTTGAGTTGTAATGGCCTATTAATATACACTTTACGATATTACGATTCGGACAGATAATGATCAGCCGACATTTTTGATTTCGCTTAGTCGCACAATTGATTTTGGAAATCGCCCAATTTGCGACTTGCGATTTTTAAGCTAAAAATGGTCGCCAAATTTTGAAAAAAGTAGCCCAAATTGCGACAAATCGCCCAATCTGGCCACACTGTGCTCGAGTGGGCTTCGACAAAACTACAAGCCTTAGGAGCAACCAGTAGAACTACGGGATATTGGTACTCAAACGCTACCTGACGGATCAACAATTCCACTCCCACCTGTTTTATTAGGTTAATTGTATTTTTTGCTACCAAAAATCTATTATAACCATAACAATTTAACAGGAACATTGAGAACATGCGCTAGAAAGAAGACAGTCCTGGTTTACGGTCACTTGGATGTACAACCTGCCTTGTTTGAAGATGGATGGGACACAAAGCCCTTCAAACTCACTGAAAAAGATGGTAAACTGTTTGGCAGAGGTGCTTCAGATGATAAAGGGCCTGTTCTGGGTTGGATTCATGTTCTGCAAGCCTATAAAGCAGCTGGTGAAGACATTCCAGTAAACTATATTAATTATTTTTTTTTTAAATATATACGTAGACTATTTGTTAGGTTAATGTCAAATTCGTCTTCGAAGGCATGGAAGAATCAGGTAGTGTGGGATTGGAACCTTTGCTCTATAGTGAACAGGATAAGTTTTTGAAAGAGGTCGATTATGTATGCATTTCGGATAATTATTGGTTGGGTACAGAGAAGCCCTGTATTACGTACGGTCTGAGGGGTGTTTGCTATTTCCACCTTGAAGTGGAGTGTGCATCAAAAGACTTGCATAGTGGTGTATATGGTGGTACTGTGTAAGTATTTTTTTTTGATAATTATTGGAATTAGTCTTTTTAAAGAAAAAATTGTATAGCTCCTATTTTGGGGCCAAATCAAATTTATTGGTCAAAAATAATAAACACACACACAAGACAACAATATAAAAATACAAAATTAAAGAAAAATCCCATTAAAAACAAAGAATGTAAAAAAATGTCAAAAAAGTCTCACAACTCGCAATGCAATTCTTTCACTAGCAAAAGCTATGAGATCTCATGTAAAACTAAGTTAAGTCAGCATAATTATAAAAGAATAATCTACCATTTCTATTACTAAGTAAATCTAAACAGTGCAGTGCTCTTAAGAATAAACATTTTTAATAATTAGTAGAATACCATGCAATTGCCAAATGACAAATAAATTGCTAGTAACTGTCAGTGAAATGTTTCAGAAAATGAATATTTACAGGGTTGTTCACCACATACGACACGGAGTATTGTAGCTAAACGATTAGATTTTTACAAATTGTAATTTTTGGGTTCGTTGAAGGACTATTAGAGTCACAATTTAAAAATATTTTTACAAGATACAGAGTGTCCCAAATAAATAAAAAATATCAAAGTTTTATTTTTTTAAATGGAACACTCTGTATATTATTACATTTTTAATTTCTACGATTAAAATAAAGGTAAATTTGATTAAGGTTTATTACACTTAAACCTTACCGTTTTTGAAATATTTTCAATTTTGTGAAATTGCAGTAAAAATTTTAAGGCTTCTTTTTTCCAATGATATCAAAGCTTTTAATACTAAATATTTACTGAAATTTATTTATTGATCAGTTATTGTGTTGCAATAATAAAAATAATACTACCTCATACAGAGTGTCAAAAAAATTTATTTTAAATAATTTCTAGATTTAAACGGCAATAACTTGCTTAATTTAAATGGAACGCCCTGTATATTTTAGGAGAATCAGATGCACAATTTAATTGTCTATCAAATTGTATTATACCATATTTTACCTATCTCTTCAAGTTTCCGTAGAAAATGCATTTTCTTGTAATTTAGAACTCGTTTTTCAGCATACCCATGGAATATTGACATTTTAGATTGTTCTTAAAGTAACAAATGTACAGGCTAGTAATATTATGGTTTTTAGCAAAACGATAATATTGCTAGCCCATTTGTATGGAAAAAGAAAACTATTTAAATCTTTATAAAAGAGTATACCATTAATTAAAAATACCACCATTATTTCCACCCAAATACCTACTAATTAATTACATATAGTCTGTCCAACGAGAAGATCCTTGACAGTGATAGATGTGTCTGTCATTTTAATTTCAAAGTAGTTTATTTTATTTTACAAAGAAATAAGTTGGTACAACTGGAACGCATAGCAGGAAATTAATATATTTAAAATTTGACTGACAAGTGATTACTTCAAAATATTGTGAAAAAAACTGTATAAAACTGAAAAAATGTAATTGAGTTATTTTATTTAATAAAAAACGGTATGTGTTAATACAAAACAAACAAGAACAAGACACCATACAAAAAAAATATAAAAAAGAACTAGGTATTTCTTACTTTCAAGCTATTATGAACTTCCCGCATTTATGATTATATTTATCAATATAACTTATGTACAAATACAAATTTGTAATATTCCGCAGGAATAAATAAATCAACATAAATAAAACAAACTATTTTATTAATAATAACATTTACCAAATTTTATACCTTAAAGGTTGGTTAATTAACTTTAATCTTATTTTTTTTAAACCAGTAGGTACCTTTTGACATTATTTTTCTGCAGTACTAAAATCCATTATTTACCTATCGTGTGATGTCGATATTTTATAGCTACTCCAGTTTTTAGTATGTGTTTAGTATGGTCCTTCTACCATATTCAAGATGCACTTATCTACGACGAGATGGTGTACGAACTTTATTGATGGTAACTTTATTGGTGTATAAGACTTTCTGCCTGGGCAGCGAGTATTAACCATAAACTGTGCTCTGGGTCTACAGTTAATTTTCACTCGATTTTTCCTCCACTTGACTTCAAAAGACACAAAACACGCGTAATAACACGAATCAAAATGCATCATCTTCCAAAACGCAGTATTTGACTAAAAGTTGACACAAAATTCTAACCTATAATTTGGCAAGACTTTGACAAACGTCAAAATCTAAAGGCAGGAGTTCATACGCATCGGCGTCCGTTTGTCGTTTATCGTTCCGTCAAACCAATAAAATTGAAATACGATCTGTCATTTTTGAAATAAACCAATAAAACTGGTTAAAAATAACAAGAGACGACGCATGACGAATTTATAATTAAACTCATCCATAGTTAACTTAAAAATTATTAGAAACTTTTGTAGTTAAATAAATAGATTGGTATGGGACGTCATCTGCTTTTCTTCTGTCATCGTCTGTCGAAATCTTACCTGAGAAAAAAAACAGAGTATACTTAAATGTGTTCGTTAATACATTATTCTAAATAAATGTGGATTTGAATCAGAAATTAATATAATAATAAGTTATGAAAATGAACGTCTCTGTTGTTATAAATAAGCATTTGTCAAAAAATGAAATATCATTTTTAAGGTGTTACTTTTTACTACACTGTCTAATACACATACAAAATTCAGTTTTTTAGTATTTGTAGCAATTATTATTAATCATCATTAATGTAGTTTTAATACGGGAATCATATTAATTGGTCCTCTTTAACAAATATTTAAACAGTTTTTTTTATTTTTTAATGAAATAAACGAACTATGTCGACAATATTAGGATCTGTACTCATTAAAAATTTGGTACATTTTTAAAAATAATCTAAAATGTCAGTATTCCATGGGTATATTGATAAATGAGATCTGAATTACAAGAAAATGCATTTTCTAGGAAAACTTGAAGATATAGGTAAAAAATGGTACAGTACAATTTGATAGACAATTAAATTGTGCATCTGATTCTCATATTTTACTCTGTATATACCCTGTATATGGACAAACAGGGCGTTACATTTAAATTAAACAAGTTATTGCCGTTTAAAACTAGTAATTATTTAAAATAAATTTTTAGACACTGTATAAGGTAGTATAATTTTTTATTATTGCAACACAATAACTGATCAATAAATAAACTTCAGTAAATATTTAGTATTAAAAACTTTAATACCCTTGGAGAAATGAAGCCTTAAAATTTTTACTGCAATTTCACAAAATTGAAAATATTTCAAAAACAGTAAGGTTTAAGTCTAATAAACCTTAGTCAAATTTACCTATATTTTAATCGTAGAAACTAAAGATGTAATAATATACAGAGTGTTCCATTTAAAAAAATACAACTTTGATATTTTTTATTTATTTGGGACACTCTGTATCTTGTAAAAATATTTTTAAATTGTATGGGCTCGAAAAGATTGCTACATAACGAGAACAAAGAAAAAATTCTCATGCATCGTTGGAGGTATCCTTCGTTGTCGATTCACGGGATAGAGGGCGCTTTTAGTGAACCTGGACAGAAAACTGTCATTCCCAAAAAGGTTATTGGGAAGTTTTCTGTTAGGATTGTGCTTAATCAAACACTTGAGAGAGAAAGTTGAGAAGTGTGTTGTAGATTATGTGACGAGAAAAAATGGAAAGATTATGGTAGTCCAAATGAGATGAAGGTAGGTTTTTATTAGCCGACCATACCATCAGGTATGGCAGGCTATTAAGATCGGCAAAATTTTTTTTTTTTAATTTCACTCAAAATTGTAGCTCTATAGTCCTTCAACGAACCCAAAACTTACAATTTATAAAAATCTAATGGTTTAGCTACAATACTCCGTATCGTATGTGGTGAACAACCCTGTATATTATTTATAATTTATTTTTGTGATCTAAATATGACAATATTTCTTTTTCATTAAATTAGACACGAAGCAATGACAGATTTAGTCTACTTGCTTGGCACCCTAGTCGACAAAGATGGCGAAATCTCGGTCACTGATTTAAGCAAAGATGTAGCAGTGCTCACTCCCGAAGAACAAAAACTTTATGAGAAAATTTACTTCAACGTTGGCGAATACAAGGCAGATATTGGCTCGAAAAGATTGCTACATAACGAGAACAAAGAAAAAATTCTCATGCATCGTTGGAGGTATCCTTCGTTGTCGATTCACGGGATAGAGGGCGCTTTTAGTGAACCTGGACAGAAAACTGTCATTCCCAAAAAGGTTATTGGGAAGTTTTCTGTTAGGATTGTGCCCAATCAAACGCCAGAGAAAGTTGAGAAGTGTGTTGTAGATTATGTGACGAAAAAATGGAAAGATTATGGTAGTCCAAATGAGATGAAGGTAGGTTTTTATTAGCCGACCATACCATCAGGTATGGCAGGCTATTAAGATCGGCAAAAATTTTTTTTTTAATTTCACTCAAAATGAGTTTTTTGGGTCATAAATGACCTAAATACAAAATATTTTCATGGTGTATGTCTGTCTGTCTGTCTGTCTGTCCGTCTGTCTGTAACACGATACCTCAAAAACCGCTAAACCGATTTTAACCAAATTTGGCACAAAAATACTGTGGCACCCGAGAATCTGGCCATTAGTTTTTGGTGGGGGTGGGGGGTTGGTAAGGGGGTATGGGAGGAGGTTAAAAATTTTAAAAAATCGTAACTCCAAAATTACAGCAGCCAGCGAAACGCGGTTTTCAATTTAAGATTAGGAATAATATTCGCAACAAAATTTGTAATAACATCAAAATCAGTCAAGTCGCAGTTTTTGAGATATTCCTTGTTTCCGTAGTTCGTTTTTTGAGAAAATCCATCGGACGCGACCCCAGGTGGCGAATAGGGGAAATAACCGCGGACCAAAATTGGAAAAATTCTTTTACTTTGAAACTAAAAGAACTGCCTACCAACTTTTTATTAACATATTTTAGTATAGGCGGCTATACGTGCCTCCCGGCGCCATTTTTTTTTTAAATTGAACTTGCATACATACTTCAAATTTTTTCCACAACGCAGACGTGTTGCATTTTTATAAAAACAGTCACATACTCGATGATTTTTTCTGCCACACACTGTACACTCTCTAGCCATGAGATGTTGATGCAGATTGATTTCGCGGTTTTCTCCTAACGATTACGCCGTATGCAGTACTTCTAACGGGTGTTCCATGGAAACGTCCAGTTGTTGAACGCTGTCTATTCAAATTGAACAATTTATTTATGGATTGGCCAGCGTCCACAAAAGAAACATGTTTTTCTGCCGCTTCAAAGTCTTTTACCAATGAAAATGTCTTATTATACGTCAAATTTTTCTCTCAAAATAGCCTCTGCTTCATGTTTTCATTTTGAAATCCAGAAACAAACTGGTCACGTAGATTCTCTTCCAGTTGTGCTTCAAACCCACATGTTTTTGCCAAATGTTTGAGAGATGCCATAAATGCAGCTATTGTTTCTCCCTTTTCTTGGCGTCTTTGCCGAAACTTATGCCGTTCTGCTATAATTGATGTTTCAAGCTGCAAATGTTCAGTCATAATCTTGACTAAATCATTATAACTTTTATTTTCTGGATCACAAAAATCAATCATTAATTCGTAGGTCTCGTCACCAACAATGGTTAATAACATAGCCACTTTCAATTCTTCTCCAATTTTATTCACTTCATTCAAAAATTCAGTTTTTCGTGCCTGGTTGGAATTGACTTATTTTTCCAATCGACATTTTGAATTAATATTAATTGTATTATATCTCTATTATTAAATTTATCAAATTTTGCGTGAGTTTAATCTTGTCGCCACTTGTGATAATTTAGTATTTATTATTTGAAATAAAACTACTTGGTTTAGTGTTCAAAATTAAACTAACTTTTATTCTCTGTATTAATATAAAGTTCATGAAATAGCATGATGTTAAAGTAAACTAAGTATTGAACATTCCACATTCGTATAAATATACGTTATTTACATTTTTTACACACTACTAAAATATTTGAATATCTAAATCAATTAATAGAAATTTCATGCATTTATTACACTTTTTACCATTGTATTTTACAGCGCGCCCAAATTTATGCCTTTCAATAAAATACCGGGTGTCCTAATATTCCCTGGACATAGAATTACTAAGTATTTTTTGAGTTATATTTAGTTCATTGGACACAATTTACCTTTATACAGAGGTGCTTCGTTTGTCCGAAAAAATAAATATACAGGATGGTCCGAACTGTATTCCGAAAACTTTGGCAGCATATTCTGCAGATAAAAATAAGTAAAAAAGTTCGTATAAATGTATGCCCTAAAATGCTTAGTTTCGGAGATACAGGGTGTAGAAATTTCATTTTTATTCGATTTTTTTCAAATAATTTCTGAAGTAACGTCACTATTTGGATGATAATTGGTGTCTTGGAGTTTTTTTGACATGAGAAATTTGACTTTGATGTCAATATGACTCCTACTTGTAGAGAAAGGTAAGAACTTTTCGTCCGTACTCGTATAAAACTACAGAGTAAAAAAATATACATTTAGACGTTTTTTACGTAAAAAGTGTCCCTTGGTAAAGATCGCTACGAGTAATGGTTCTCGAGATATTTGGAATCGAAATTATCAACACCTGTCTCCATTGACATAAATTAAACATGTTGACTAAATAGTTATTAGACTGAAATCATAAATTTGATATGTTTGTGTGTCAAAAATTCAACAGAAACTGTTTTATCATCATTCTTTCGAAAAAAATTATGATTAATTTAAAAATATAAAAAGTTACCAATTTTATAATTTCAGTCAAATAACTATCTACTCAACATGTTGATTTTTTGTCAATAATGACATGCATTGACTATTTCTATTCCAAATATCTTGAGAACGGTTGCTCGTAGCGATGTTTAACAAGAGACATTTTTTACGTAAAAAATGACGGAAATAAATATTTTTTCACTCAGTAGTTTTATACAGGTATGGACGAAAAGTTATTACTCTTCAAAACAGTTAAAACACAAGATATGTAGGTGGCGCTCCCTACAATCGTATTAACATCAGAATTAAATTTCTCATGTCAAAAAACTTCCAAGAACCAATTTTCATCCAAATATTGATGTTACTTCAGAAATTATTTGGAAAAAATCGAAATAAAAATGAAACTTCTACACCCTGTATCTCCGAAACTAAGCATTTTACGACACACATTTATACGAACTTTTTTACTTATTTTTATTTGCAGAATAGGCTGCCGAAGTTTGCGGAATACAGTTCGGACCACCCTGTATTTTTTAAGATTTTAAGAACCGCTATTCGGATTTGAATGAGATTTAGGGAGCCTGTGTTTTACTAAGAGCTTTAACATTTGACTTTCTCAAAAACCATTATGATTATTGTTAGTTCCCAGTTCTCAAAAACGATGAAAAGTACGGGAAGGATGAAAACTACCCCCACCCCTTCATAAATTTTAGCAGAAATATTTTCCAACTCGATCGATGACTGTTTTTTTTATGCAAAATGGTTCTTCTTGTATATGTTACGGTTAAAGTCCGATGTCTCGGTTAATGTTGACGGTTAATGTTTGGTAACAGGTTATGTTTTTGGTTGTTTTGTTGTGTGTTATTCTCGAGATTAACCGGGTAATGTCGACATTAACCGGACATCGGACCTTAACCGTAATATACACATAATATACATACATACTACATATGTTGTCACTGGTATAAGAATACCACGTCGCATAGTTTTTAAGAAAAAAATAAATTTGATTTGTTTTTCCAAAGCAGACATATTACATAATGTACGGGAAGTTCCAATATTCCGTGGACGGTGAATAACTCCGTATTTTTCGAATCAAAATAAGTTAATTGCACACAATTTACCTGTATGCAAATGCAAAGGATATGCATTAATAAAGGCCTTCTATTGAAAGAACGGAAGTCAAATCCTGCCTTATACTTTCAAAAAACAAACACAATTTTCTCATTAAATATAGATTTTAGATATAGGAAGTGCTTAACAAAACAAAAAGATTATACAAAACTCCTTTCGATTACGACACAAAATACAGGGTGGTTCATTTAATATAGTGGAATTAGAATAGTTCATTTAAAATACAACATTTAGTTTGAACAAGATTGCAAATATTGGTAGGCTGAATTTTAAAAATGACGCTATTATACAGTACCTCCGGCTAGAAAATTTTAAAATTCTTCGAATTTATAATTCCAGATAAGATATAATAAGAGGGCTTTAAATAAGCAGTATATTTAGTTTAAAACGGTTGTATCTCAAAAACCACTCGGTATAGTATATGACGTTATGGTATTTTTGAAATGGAAATTTAAAAATACAACATTTAGTTTTGACTCATCCTGTACATATCAAACAAGATTGGAAATTTTGGTCGACTGAATTTTGAAAAAGACTTTTATACAGCATTTTCTATTAAATTTTTTTTTAATTCTTCGCATTTAAATTTTTGAGAGGACTTTAAATAAGCAGTATACTTATCTGATTTAAAAACGATTATATTTCAAAAATCACTCTGTATAGTATTATGGTATTTTTGGAATGGAAATTTATAATAAATCCAACTGAGCTAAAAATATACAGTATTCCATTTAAAAATAAACAACTTTAGTTTCAAAATGTGTTTAAATCGCTCTGTATGGGACAAAAATATTTTCAAAACGTGAGTTACCATTGCCTCGATATTATTTAAATTTTTTTAATGAGAATCAGGAACCAAAATCCTAATATAGAGCTTTTTTTGGAAGCCTAGGTCACCCTGTATATTGATTTAATAAATTTAACTAAACATATATGACCACTAAATAAATATTTGACTGAGAGACGGACTACCATCAGTTGTTTTTCTTTTCTACTGCTTCTACCTCGAAAATTAGCCGCTATTGGTGAAAAAAATGAAAAAGAATATTTTATCTAGGCCGCTGAAAATTGGAATACTTATGTAAAATTAAAAAGAACTTTTTCAAACAAAGTTTGAAAACTTTAATTTATTACTTTATGTGTGTGTGTATGTATTATGTATAACTATGCTAAATTGTATTATGTTATTGTTGCTCTATTTCAAAACAAAAACTAACTCTACAGTCAGATTTTATTTAAATCGATTAATAAACTTTTTTCCATAGCAACTGTTAAAATTGCCTTATATCTATCAAAAATAGTAGATAAAATAGTACTTTAACCGCAAGGGTAGATTAAATGATACTTTAACAGCGAGGATAGGTTAAAAACTTTATTTCTTTTCGCACGTTTTTTAATTGCTTCCATTTTTGAAAATTTTTGTATTCTTTCATAAGTTATTCGGGATTTAAATGGAATTAGTTTGGATATGGCGTTTGTCGCCTCAGCCGGAATATCTGTTGTTAATTTACTTATTTCGTTTCGAGCCATTTCTGGCTCCAATTCAATTACCAATCGAGACGATATATATAAAAATATTGACTCAAAACTGACAACTAAAGAGACAGCTTTATTTATTTGTCAAATTACATAGAAACCAACGCCAACCCAGCACAATATTTTTTCTACTCGTAATAAATTCCTTGAAATAATAATTATTTCTGAATAGTTTTTAAAACGTAACTCGCTGTGGAAAAAATATTGTTTTATACACGACGATAAAATTGCATTATCGTCTCCCGAAATTAATTCACTCGCGATTTCATCGCTCGTGAATTAATCTTTTCGGTCGACGATAAAATACCATTTTATGGTCTTGTATAAAAAATAACTATTACAGACTTACATCTGTTTGGCACTGTATCTTTTTGTTTATCATTTTACTATTATTTTAAATTCTCTGGAAATTATTTAATTTCATCGATTTCGTTTATTTTCTGTCGCTGTAAGTTCAAATATTTTTAACAGGTCTATCTTGCTCACGGTGGTTCCCCTTGGATGGAAGATCCCACTCATCCCCACTACAATGCTGCTGTCAAAGCCACAAAGCACGTCTATGGGGTGGAACCTGATCTAACCAGGGAGGGTGGTTCCATTCCCGTGACCTTAGTCCTACAGAAAGCCACAGGAAAGAACGTCATTCTACTTCCGATAGGATGTGGCAACGACGGAGCTCATTCCCAAAACGAGAAGATCGATATAAGGAATTATATTGAAGGGGTAGGTTTATTAACAACAGTTTTTAAATGAAACAGTTTGTTCTACAGGGTTTTTCACCACATACGACACGGAGTATTGTAGCTAAACGATTATATTTTTACAAATTGTAAGTTTTGGGTTCGTCGAAAGACTATTAGAGCTACAATTTAAAAATATTTTTATAAGATACACACAAGAGTGTCCCAAATAAGTAAAAAATATCATAGTTGTATTTTTTTAAATGGAACACCCTGTATATTATTCTATTTTTAGATTCTACTATTGAAATAAAGGTAAAAATTTGATTACGGTTTATCACACTTAAACCTTACCGTTTTTGAAATATTTTCAATTTTATGAAATTGCAGTAAAAATTTTTAAGGCCTCATTTCTCCAAGGGTAGTAATTAGAGCTACAATTTAAAAATATTTTAACAAGATACAGAGTGTCCTAAATAAGTAAAAAATATAGTTGTATTTTTTTTTAAATTATTCTATTTTTAGATTCTTTGGTTGAAATAACGGTAAGTTTGATTAAGGTTTATCACACTTAAACCTTACCGTTTTTGAAATATTTTCAATTTTGTGAAATTGCAGTAAAAAGTTTAAGGCTTCATTTCTCCAAGGGTACTTAATTGTTTTAACTAATAAATTATTCTAAATAAATATGGATTTTACTCAGGAATCAATACAATAATAAGTTTTGAAAATGAACGTCTCTGTTATAAATAAGTCTGTCAAAAAATGATATAAAATTTATAAGGTGTTACTTTTCACTACACTGTCTAATACACATACAAAATTTAGTTTTTTAGTATTTGTAGTAATTATAATATTATTAATCAATGTAAACAGTCAATTAATCTAGTTAGAATACTGGGATCATATTAATTGGTCATCTTTAACAAAAAGTATTTAAACAGTTTTTTTTTTACCTTTTAATGAAATAAATGAACTATATCGACAATATTAGTAACTGTACTTTTTGAAAATTTGTTACATCTTTAAAAATAATCTAAAATGTCAATATTCCATGGGTATAGTGATAAATGAGGTCTAAATTATAAGAAAATACATTTTCTACAAAACTTGAAGAGATAGGTGAAAAATAGTATAATACAATTTGATAGACAATTAAATTCTGCATCTGATTCACGTAAAATATATAGGGTGTTCCATTTAAATTAAACAAGTTATTGTCGTTTAAAACTAGTAATTATTTAATATAAATTTTTAGACACTCGGTATCAGGTAGTATTTTGGATATTATTGCAACACAATATCTGATCAATAAATAAACTTCAGTAAATATTTAGTATTAAAAACTTCGATACCCTTGGAGAAATGAGGCCTTAAAAATTTTTACTGCAATTTCATAAAATTGAAAATATTTCAAAAACGGTAAGGTTTAAGTGTGATAAACCGTAATCAAATTTACCTTTATTTCAATAGTAGAATCTAAAAATAGAATAATATACAGGGTGTTCCATTTAAAAAAATACAACTATAATATTTTTTACTTATTTGGGACACTCTTGTGTGTATCTTATAAAAATATTTTTAAATTGTAGCTCTAATAGTCCTTCGACGAACCCAAAATTTACAATTTGTAAAAATCTAGTTGTTTAGCTACAATACTCCGTATCGTATGTGGTGAACAACCCTGTATAATGTTATCAGTAGTATCTTCTAACTGTAGTGGTGTTGATTTTCAATTTCATCATTTCAAATATTCTTTACTTTGATTACTATGATGACTTTGTACTGATTTTGGTACTGCTGTCAATTTTGTCAACTGTTGTCAACCTTTGTGTCTAATTTCACCTGCCTAAAGCTTGATTTTCATGCATCCGTTATACGTTGATACGATGGTCCGGCGGTGCTCTGATTGGTCATAGCGTTTTCGCGCCACTTTTCATCCGTAAATATTTTACTTCAGCCGGTCAACGGACCCGTTCATACGACAACGGACGTTTTGACACTTTTTTAACAAATTTAATCTAACCTTAATAAAAATATAAGTAAAATAGCAAAATCGTTATGGAAACGAAAATATAAAATAACACCAACGTATATCCGATAAACGGAGGCATGGAAATGCAATAAATTTAAAAACTGCGTTATTTTCTAACCAATCAAAGTCTTTAAATTCAGTAAAATTAATATCGTATTAACGTATCGTCGGACAACGGATGTATGAAAATCAAGCTTTAGGGATTTATTTTCAAAAATAACTTCTTAGTACTCGCGTTTTTGATTTAATGAACCTTGTGTGTAAATTTAATACTTCTAGAACCGTTACAATTTTTTGTACAAATATTCAAAAGTTCACTTATACAAAATTTCACCCTCTTAGGGGATGGATTTCAAAAAATTGTTTCTGAGTACTTACTTTCATCACTTAAAGGCACAATTTTCGCATTTATTACGGTTTTCGCGATACCAATGCTCGTACCTCGAATTTGTATCACCCTCTGTATACATATGTTTTTCTTTTTCAGACGAAATTGTTAGGTGCCTATCTTTATGAAGTTTCTCAACTTTAAATTCCACAAAATACCGTATGATCGAAAAAAAAACGGCCTCTAGTTGTCTTTGAAATGACGTACTATATAATGTTGCTGACGGAATTAATTTGTATTTAATACTATTATAATTATTATATTACATATATATTGAAAGAATAAATCATTGATTTTGTTTAGCATGTGTTTGTTTTAACCTTCGTTTTTGTTAATAAAATCTAATCTATTATTAATAAATATTTATTAAATATTAATGCCATAAATATTAAGCGCCAATTTTCTATATATTCTTTATGTTACCACATATACCAAACCAATGTAACTGTGAAAATTATTGTTTCGCGAAACATCGAATTTAATTTCAAATGTATTATAAGTATGTACCGGGTGTCCCACTAAGAATAGCTCTCGGCTTTATCTCGGAAAGTATTAATCGTATGGCTTGCGGAAAAAATATTTATAACTAAAGGGGCTATGACAAATTGCTGGAAATTATTTTCAAGTTTGTAAAACGACCGCTAGGGGGCGCAACTGCAACAAAAAATAAGAAAATGGAGTTTTTACACAATTTTGACTAGATAAGGTATATATATATATAGGTAATATCTTTATAATCTTCAGTAAATTTTGAATATTTTTTGTTAAAGCCATTTTCCCCTATCAACCAAAATAAAGTGGTGGGGGAAGGTTAGATCTGTTTTTATTTAAATATTAATACCTCTGGACTGGATAATCGGAATCCAACAATCGAAGGCTCGTTTAAAAGAGCGTTTCTTACTCTATATTGTACAATATAAACAGTAATAATAAGCTTTTGAACGTAGACGCTAGGGGGCGTTGTCTTACAATTTAACAAACATTGCGCGTTTTTTTTCTAAAAAATTAAATGCAATAGTATATGTAATTTTAGCTGACAGTAAAGAGTAGTAAAAGCTTGAAAAGTCAGCGAAAACCGCAATTTGATATTTTCTTTCAAACCGAAGATATTAGCAAAATTATAATAAATACCAAAACATACGCCTTAATTACCTTATTTTTACAACACGGCATCAGTAGCCCTTTTAATTATGCCCATTCTAACAAAAAAATAAGATAGAATCAGTTAAATTATTTTAAAATCGACGAAATACCAGAATATCTAATAATTAAGATATTAATAACAGTGAAGAAGAAACGATGATTCAGTGAAGTCATGGTAGGCTTTGGAAAAAAAGTTGCTTTTGACGTAATAGTATAAACGTCAAATTGTTATTAGATCAATATTTTGACAGTCTTATCAGCGTTTTTTATCTTTTAATTGCTTTTTCAAAATGCCATAATAACTTCAACTATTTCAAATAATAAAGGTCATTTTGAAAAAGCAATTAAAAGATAAAAAACGCTGATAAGACTGTCAAAATGTTGATCTAATAACAATTTGACGTTTATACTATTACGTCAAAAGCAACTTTTTTCCAAAGCCTACCATGACTTCACTGAATCATCGTTTCTTGTTCACTGTTATTAATATCTTAATTATTAGATATTAATACCTCTGGTATTATGGTATTCTGATATTTCGTCGATTTTAAAATAAACTAACTGTTTCTATCTTATTTTTTGTTAGAATGGGCATAATTAAGAGGGCTACTGATACCGTGTTGTAAAAATAAAGTAATTAAGGGCTTATTTTTTGGTATTTATTATAATTTTGCTAATATCTTCGGTTCAAAAGAAGATATCAAGATGCGGTTTTTGCTGACTTTTTAAGCTTTTACTACTCTTTATTATGAGCTAAAATTACATATACCATTGCATTTAATTTTTTAGAAAAAACGCGCAATTATTATTGTTTATATGGTATAATATAGAGTAAGAAACGCTCTTTTAAACGAGCCCTCGCTTGTTGGATTCCGATCATCCAGTCCAGAGTTATAAATATTTAAATAAAAACAGATCTAACCTTCCCCCACCACTTTATTTTGGTAGATAGGGGAAAATGGCTTTAACAAAAAATATTCAAAATTTACTGAAGATTTTGAAGCTATTACTTATAGTACACCTCATCTAGACAAAATTGTGTAAAAACTCAGTTTTTTTATTTTTTGTTGCAGTTGCGCCCCCTAGCGGTCGTTCTACAAACTTGAAAATAATTTCCAGCAATTTCCCATAGCCACTTTAGTTATAAATATTTATTTCCGCAGCCCCTATACGGCTAATACTTTCCGAGATACAGCCGAGATCTATTCTTAGTGGGACAACCTGTACACAGGTATGTACTAATAAATTTGGACCAGCAAAATACTCTTTCAATGTACACTTCTTGTCTAAGATACAAAGATGCGGTTTTCACATCTGTGTTCACATCACTGTGCTATTTTTTTAAGAAACTAAAGATTCTACGCACAGATTTGTCCTAGCCCTCTTAGTTCCTGAAATACAGGGCGAAATTGAAAATGTTGCATTATTCGACCCCCTTCATATCTCGGTCAAAGACTACAATCTCGGTTATCTCATAACTTATCGAAAAGGTGAAAACTGGGCCCAGTAGACATTTTCACGTAGAATCCATTGGCGTAACTAGTTAACAGATGTTTATAAATGTTTATATATTTATTAATTATTATTAATTTGTAAACACTTTTTGTAAAAATGTACGGTAAAAAGGAGCCATGTACGGTAATTTGAGCTACGCGGTATGGTAAATCCTTAAGGTGGTTACACGCACTACTGCAAGCTTGACAAGCATGCATGAACAATCTTTTTGTACAAGCAAACTGTAGCGTCTGTGGGGAAAATTTGCGCAAGCATTTTAATTGTGCAAGCCGCTTGATGATTGATTGAATTTGAATCAAGTTTGCGCAAGCGAAACGGTACCTGTGTACCACATGTATTCAGCTTGTACAAACAATTAGTTCAGTCCGTGATCGTAAATGACATTTATTGTTAATCTAAGCAAATGAACTGTACGTCGCGTCGCCATCATGTCTAGCGATCTGAAAAGGAGCAATCGAGGATTATTGGAAGATTTTATTCGCGCATACGAAAATCGGCCGTGTCTTTGGCGAATTAAATCACCAGAATATCATGATAGGGTGAAGAAGGATACAGCATACAAAATTTTACTTAATAAGTATAGATTAATTGACAGCCAAGCCGATAAGGATGCTAATAACGGCATCTTTATCGGTAAAGATAAATGCCTTCGGGATTCCTTCTTATTTTTCGCGGCATAAACTGAAGCTTGTTCAAGCATGCATGTACAGTGTGGCGGCGAAGGAAATTATGCATGCTTGTACAAAAAGATTGTTCATGCATGCTTGTCAAGCTTGCAGTAGTGTGTGTAGCCACCTTTAGGGTAAATCAATATTGAGAAGTTGGCAACACTGCCTTGATCTGATGTGGTCAGCTGTGGTAAATAAATAAGTTGTTAGTTGTCAATGTTGTCATTTGCAATTTTGCATTATATTCTTGCGTTTTTCTAGCATTATCAGATGCATTATTTTCTGTGATTATTTTCATATTCAGAATCAGAATAATAACGTCACCCACAACTTCACTAAAAACGGCGAATAGATACGAGTTTTTAACGTCGAGGAAATCTTGAAAATGTCGAGTGGTTCCAAGAGTAATTCTAACTTAGATTCTAACCCAGAAAATTTGTTTACAAAAGTTTCTTACAAAAGAAAAGGCAAATCTACTCATATATCAAATGGACTAGTGAGTCTTAATAATACCAGTCATTTAGAAGGACACCCAACAGAACAAAAATGGAATATCAGGTAATTCTTACAGCAATTTAGTTATTTTTCAGAATATAATAATTAAATCCTTTGCTGTAGAATGGGCTTCTACGGCTACCACCAAACGATAATTTCTAAATCACGCGAATGGAAATCTCTGGAGCACATATTAAGGCATAGATTGGACATGGAAGGAGAGGAACGCCTGATGTACCCCGAGATGGGAAGGTACCCATATCCTCAAGTTTCTAAAATAATTTGTCTCGGATTAGGAAGAATATCTGAACTTACTGTACCTAAATATCAATTAGCTTTACTTTTATGTTTGAAAGAATTTTACTACGATTTAAAAGAAGTATATGCTTACGATCCTACTTTTAACGATAATGACAGATTTGTGTTGAATCATTTTGGGATTAAAACTGAGACCACAAATCTCGAAGGTAAATATATAGTGCCAGACAATACACCTACATTATTTTATTTACCCCATTGCCCTAAGGAACTTTTAAACAATCTCTTGTGGAGTAATTGGGGACTTAATTTGCATTCCTGTATAGTGTTAAGTAACAGTATATGTAAAGTGATAGAAGATAATAGACATAGAGATCTTCAGATATTTGCTGAGTATATTTTAAGAATAGATCCTTACGTGACAGAGTTTGGTATTGAAAATAGTTCTGAACTTTATGAAGCATTTAATGATACTGCTCTACATTGTTTTTATTACAACATATTAGAAAAACTTCCTCTTGATTTTTGGGCTAAAAGAAATGAACCACAATATCCTAATGATTCAGAATTAAAGCATAAAAAAAAATAATTTTTGTTAAATGTCATAATGGCATTCATTTTAACGCCTAGGCTTAAAAGTAAAGCACTTTTATGCCTAAGCACAAAAGTACAAAAATATGTCACATATTAGGGTAACTATGGGTATTATGAGATACCACTTTTATTTGAAGACTACACGGGATGATATGTCATTCTCAAGGTTATTAAATTAAACAGCAGTGAGATTCTGTAAGCTCCTTAGCAAGACATTTCCTGTCTAGCCTATGCTATTTGTATATTTTTACAGAATTGGTCCTTAGGTTGACTGTTGCCTCGTAACTTGACATTAGCCGCCATATTGCGCGTCATCGTGTTGTATCCTTGTTGTATCCAGCAGATTTCAGCTTGTTTACAAATAATTTTATATTTTTTTCATGTATTAAGTGCATTAGAGGACGGTTTTACTGGACATACTATATTTATTTTAGTTTTGGTGTGCTTAATGTATTATAATTATTAGATAATGAACTATGTAGATATTTTTTTAAAATTATTTATCTAATTTTCCTTAGAAATAGAGATTATTCCTACCTATAGCAGCCTATTGTTCAGTGTTGTTTTTGCTGAGTGATGTCTCAAAGGTGGCTCACCCCACACCACTTTGGCCACTTTCGGTTTCACCGGATATGACTACAACTTTTGATTTTTAAATGGTACCCTCGGTATTTTTTTACTTTATTCGATAGAAAATGACACCCTGAATCGAATGATATATCATATGTCAACTTTTGACATTTTCGCATAATATGGTTTATTTGAACTTGTAACATGCGGTTCATAACGACAATTTGACTCAAAATATATAGTGTGTGGTGTCAAATTATTTGTAAATTTTTTTTTCCAAATATGCTAATGAGCCACCCTCGTTCCATTTGAAAAAATTGAGATATGATTAAAAATACGATTGCGGCATCTTTTAACCGGCCAGGACAAGACACTAAAGACATTAGACAATCAAATCTATTTTTCCAAGACTCCCTGATTAAAAATTAGTGTTAATTAAAATAGTTAACACAGCCTAGATTGAAATTTAAAATACTATTTGTTTTTGAGTGACCATGTAAAAAATGTGATTCGATTCAAAGTGTCATTTTCTGTCGAATAAAGTAAAAAAATACCGAGGGTGCCATTTAAAAATCAAAAGTTGTAGTCATTTCCGGTGAAACCGGAAGTGAATACGTCAATTAATCCCAATTTATGTCATATACTAAAGTACCAAATATCGTTGTTTTATCTGAAAAAATTAAAAAGTTATAATAGGGGTGAGCCACTTTTGAGACGCACCCGGTATATGTGTTTGTGTATAATAAAAAATTATTTCAACTAACAGCGCTTTCAGATGGAGCGGAGCGTCCGCGACGGAGCGTCCGCTACTTTGAACAAGTACCATGAGTTTATATGAGCATTTTCACATGGGCGCGTATGCTCCGTCCGACGGAGTTCGTCGGACGGCTATCTTGAAAAAACACGACGGACGGTCCGTCGCGGACGGTCCACTCCATCTGAAAGCGCTGTAGTTTCAATATTTTAAGATGGTAAAAAGCGAAAACTATTTTTTTTTCGAATACAAGTATTGCTTAAAAAGGTTAAATTTCAGCAAAATTAAGGATAAATAAATAAAGATTGTATAGAAGAACAATTTAACTTACTTTTGTTTTTTTAATTGTCATTATTATTAAACCTTTTTTAATAGCAAAATAAAACACTAAATCACCACAATACACCAAAATACTTCAGTTCAAATATTCAAATCATCTGCTGATAATGCTAACATGGTTAGCGAAACGCGCGTCCAGTGTAAAAGTAAGTGTTTTGGTGTATTGAGGTGATTTAGTGTTTTATTTTACTGTGTAACACCAAAGGTTCTATCCCCCCAACTGTAATATTTTGTTAATAGTTATTTTAAATCCATATAGTTTTTCTTTTCTTTCTTGGGTATGATGTTTTATAATAATTGAATAATGAAAAACATTTTTTATGCGACGTTTCGCTCCGACTTAAATTTAAGTCTTTTTTTGACTTAAATCATTTTAATGACTTAAATCATTTGATTTTAAGTCATATATCGAAAGCTAACTTAAGACTTAAAATTTAAGTCTTTTTCAAAATGACTTATGATTTAAGTCTTTATTCCGAAATAGAAAAAGATTTAAGCCATTAAAAAAAGATTTAAGTTATTAAAAGATTTAATTTTTTTTAAGTCATTAATAAAGACTTAGGTAATTTTTTTAATGACTTAAGTCATTTTACGAAAGTTTTCAAAGATCTTTTAAAAGATTTAAGTATTTTTAGAAAATATTTAATTTATTTTTATTTATTTTTTAACAGCGCCATCAAATATGTGTTGGTTGCGATCGAACCATCTTCAGTTTCTTAAGAAAGTAGCAACTGTGAAAAACGTATCTTTGCACCGCTGCTCATAAACGAGAAACACTATATAAAACACACAAAAATTGGACAATTTGTACAGGGTGTATTAGTCGTAGATCTTGCGGAAAAAAAATATTTATAACTAATGAGACCATGAGAAATTGCTGGAAATTATTTTCAAGTTTGTAGGATGGCTGCTAGAGGGCGTAACTACTATGGAAAATAACAAAATGGAATTTTTAAGAAATTTTGCCTAGATACGATGTACTATAAATAATAGCTTCATAATCTTCAGTAAATTTTGGATCTTTTTTGTTAGAACCATTTTCTACTATCTGCTAAAATATAGTGGTGGTGGGAGGTTAGATCTGTTTTTATTTAAATATTAATAACTCCGGACTGGATGATCGGAATCTAACAAGCGAGGGCTCGTTTAAAAGAGCATTTCTTACTCTATATTGTAGCATATAAATAATAATAATAAGCTTTTGAACGTAGATACTAGGGGGCGTTGTCTTAAATTTAACAAATATTGCGCGTTTTTTCAAAAAAATTAAATGTAATAGTATATGCAATTTTAGCTGATAATAAAGAGTAATAAAAGCTTAACAAGTCAGCGAAAACCGCATCTTGACATCTTTTTTCAAACCAAAGTTATTAGTAAAATTATAATAAATACCAAAATATAAGCCCTTAATTACCTTATTTTTCTAACACGGTATCACTAGCCCTTTTGATGATGACCAGGGCCGGCGGAAGAGCCGGGCGCCCCGGGCGGCCGCCCAGGGCGCCGTATGCGAGGGGCGCCACGGCAGCAAGTAAAATATTTTAAAATATTTGGTCGTGGTATTATACTTATAACTCAAAAGATATCAACTTTTTGTAAATAACCCTTCTTTTTATAATTCTTGTTTTTATAAATTTTCTCTAAACAAACTGTTTTGGGTTGGCAGTTTTAGACTGACCGCTCAAAATCGCACTTTGTCAACTGTTCACACCCTTTATTTGTTATTAATGGCTGATTTGCCTTAAAAATTATATGAGGCAAATATACATTCGCAAGAAGCTGAAGAGGATCCCGATATCCTTAATATCAATAAAAGCTTATAAGTGCCTCATGCATTTAATTAATTTATTAACAGCAGTGGGAAAATATATCAATCTTATTATCGCGGGTGATCTGGCAAATGTTCCTATCTACTGAAACAGTAACTTTACAGGAGGCAATAAAAACGGTATTTTCAAAAACGGAACGACTTAGAAGGCTGGGCTATTGAAAATACATTATAATTTATGTTTTCTATTAAATACTATTTATTTGGAAGCGATTAAACTGTAAACTTGTTTATTAAATCAGATAGGATTTTTTGCTTTTAATAAAATGGCACATAGGATTATTTGCATTTTAGGATTATAAAGGATAGGACGGTTTGCTTGTGGTAAAAGTAAGATAGGATAATTTGCTTTCATAGTTTTATGGTATATACTATAGTAAATATATAGTAAATCACCTTAATTTTAGTTCAAAATATAACTAAAAAATCGAACAAGCACAAGAAGCCTGTCACGACTCGCTGGTTTTTAACGCAAAGTTATGAAGATAGGAGAAATTGCTTCTTAATATCACCTGATTATAGATAGGAACTTTTGCTTTTTAACCAAAATAAGTAGATAGGAGTTTGTGTGACCAGAATAACAGCTGGTTTCAGATAGGAGGTTTTCTTTTCTTTAAATTGTGCCGTAAATTTTTTATTTTTAGATATTACCTTTTGTCAATACGTGCATAATGACTCATAGAATATTATGCTAAAATAATCTCAATTTTGAAAAAAACGGCAGATAGGAGCATTTGTCAGATCACCCGTGTTATGTAGTAATACACAAAAAATGGTAGCAGAATCGTAACATTTTCTCACTAGAGCAAGACAAAGGAATATGCTTCTCAAACACTGGATGATCGTTATTCTAAGTCGACAAAACTGTATCTGATCATATACTGATTCTGCATGAAATAATTGATCAAAAGTGGCTCGCCCCTATAACTTGGTTATTTTTTTAGATGAGAAAACGAGATTTGGTATATTATTTTGTTAGTATACGACATAAATTAGGATTAAAAGGGATTAATTGACGTATTCAATTGTTTTTGATCGCTTCCTGTTTTACCGGAAATTACTACAACTTTTGATTTTTAAATGGCATCCTCGGTATATTTCTGCTACGATAGAAAAGCTCTGAATAGAAATATTAAGGAAGGAGTATAATGCTATCCATGTATTCATGCATGGTGGGCGAAAAAAGGACTCTAGGGTGGGGATCCTTCACAGTTCTGTTTGACGATTCATTTGACACATATGTAGATAAGTTGTTTTAATTTGTAGTAATTTCCGGTAAAACAGGAAGTGGCCAAAAACAACTGAATACGTCAATCAATCCTAATTTATGTCATATACTAAGATACCAAATATTACGTTTATTATTACGCTTGTACCAAATTTCGTTTTTTATGGGGGGCGCTCCATAGTGTACTCGCCCGGTCTCAATATTTCCTTTCCGCCGGCCCTGATGATGACCACTCTAATAAAAAATAATATAAAAAAAGATTATTTTATTCAAAATATCGACAATGAACCAGAAAACCATAATGCTAGGTGTATTAATATCTAATAATTAAGATACCAATGACGGTGGACAAGAAACGACACCTCAGTGAATTCATGGTAGGCTTTGGAAAGAAGTTGCTTTTAAACGGATAGTTTAAACATCAAAATATTATTATATCAACATTTTGATAGTCTCATCAGCCTTTTTTTATCTTTTGGTTGCATTTCTCTAAAAATGCCTTTCTTCAACAGAGAAAAAACGCTGCTAAGACTATCAAAATGTTGATTCAATAACTCTTTGACGTTTATACTATTACGTCAAAGGCAACTTTTTTCCAAAGTCTACAATGACTTCACTGAGGCGTCGTTTCTTATTAACTGTCATTGATATCTTAATTATTAGATATTAATAGATTTGGTATTATGATATTCTGGTATATTGTCGATTTTAGAATAATCTAATCATTTCTATCTTATTTTTTGTCAGAATGTTCATAATCAAGAGGGCTAGCCCGTGTTAGAAAAATAAGGTAATTAAGGGCTTACATTTTCGTATTATTATAATTTTGCTAATAACTTTGTTTTTTTTTAATTTAAAAAAAAAATTCGCGAAAAAACTTCACAATCGTGTTTCTGGGGTCAAAATATAATACCCCTAAAAATATTTGCACTTATTTAAGACTCATCCTGTATAATTACTTACAACTTACAAGGTATTACCCTTGTTTATATGTCTTGATTATGTATATTATACATAATC